GTATTTAGCACTTCTTCATGGCAGCAATATGGTGGTTGAAAGTGCTGTTCTCTAGCAACCCCAGGTTTTCAAGGCAAGATGTTCAGAGGTGATTTGCCATTGCCTGCCTGCACCAAGCAACCCTGGACTTCTTTGGTGGACTCCCACCCAAGTAATAACCGGGGTCAACCCTCCTTAGCTTCCGAGATCTGATGGGATCATGATAGCTTGGGCTATCCAGGTCAGGGCAGCAGCAATATACTATCAATGATTTCAACATAAAGCCAATAAAACATTGATGAATAAAGCAGATTTATTTACTTGTAAAATGCATATGCCACCTCTCCAGACCTACCTGATAAATGAAACACAACACACTAACTAAAAACCAGTATAAAAGAAATCAGATTAAATGGTAATCAACAGGTTTAAAAAACAAAAAACGAGGCATCAGGCAGGTTTTGGCCTGGAAAGTTTTTTATATCCAAGGTACATCCACTGAAAAGATGAAGAAGAAAAGACTGGATTTATATCCTGCCCTTCACTTGGAGTCTCAGAGCAGTTTACAATCTTACCCCACCAGACCATACCATAAACACCCTGTGAGGTAGGTGGGGCTGAGAGAACTCTTGAGGACTGCTCTTGAGAGAACTGCTCTGAGAGAATTTGTGACTGACCCAAGGTCACGCCAGCAGCTGCATGGGGAGAAGTGGGGAATCAAAGGTTCTGCTTGTAGTTTTGCCACCCATCTAAAGTCAGAGAGTGAAGACACACAGAAAAAGGTTTAAATACTAATCTTAAAGGGCACTGGGTTGCGAAAAAACCATCACGGGCCAGATATCGCGGGGGAGGCGTGGCTAATTGCCCGGCGCAGTTTGATTCGCGATTACGCGATCAGATGCACCGGCGGCACCCCACGGGTCCTTCCCTTGGCGCCGGCAGGTAAACAAGGGACCGGAGGGGAATGCCGCGCGCTGGCGCGATCACACCACAGGCGTCTGGAGGCAGCCTGTGGCAAACGTTTACTCGTACCTTGGAGGTACTAGAAGAAGAAGAAGAGATTGGATGTATACCCCGCCCTTCACTACCCAAGGGAGTCTCAGAGCGGCTTACAATCTCCTTTCCCTTCCCCTCCCCACAACAGACACCTTGTGAGGTGGGTGGGGCTGAGAGAACTCTGACACAAACTGCTCTTTTTCAAGGACAGCTGTGCCAGAGCTTGACTGACCCAAGGTCACATCAGCAGGTGCAAGTGGAGGAGTGGGGAATCAAACCCGGTTCTCCCAGATTAGAGTCCGCACACTTAACCACTACACCAAACTGGCTCTCAAGTTTTTTAACGTGCATTGTTGGCGGTAAGCCACGGGTGCGCTCCACTTCCCAGATGTTGGGGTGTGATCACGCCCGGATAATCCACCCACCTTCCGTGCCTCTCCCGCGGCAACCTTGCTGTGTGACCGGGGCCAAGGTTTATTTTCACTTTTTCAAAAATCCAACACTTTTCATTGCTACTGAATATCAAATTGCACTTGCCAGTGAGCTATCCACCATTATGAGCCCAAGATCTCTTTCCTGCATATTCATAATTTATTCAGAACCCATTACTTGCCTCCGAAATTCATCACTTTTCACTTACGTTGAATCTCATTTTTCATTTTGTTGCCAATTCACCCAGTTTGGAGAGACCCTTTTGGAACTCTTCCTATGTCTTCTACTTTGGATTTCATCATTTTGACTAGTTTGGCATCATCTGCAAATGTGCTGACTTCACATTTACCCCTATCATTTATGAATACCCCAGTCCCAACGCAGCTCCCTTAGGAATACAACTGCTTACTTCCCTCCCTTGGGAGAACGCCATTCCCTGTTCTTAAAACACTCAGGTGTAGGTTCGATTTTTGCATAGGAATGCCACAAACTAAAGCATTTCATGACTTTTTAACCCCTTCGTTCACATTTGTTCTTATTCCCTCTGCTGTGTAAATATTCTGGTAAATGAAAATCTGTTTCTTACGAAATGGTTTCTAACCCTCAAAAGTGTCAATAAATGTAGCTTCAGGTGGGTAACCGTGTTGGTCTGAACCAACAGAACGAAGTTTGAATCCAATAGCACCTTTAAGACAACAAAGTTTAATTTTGAATATAAGCTTTCGTGTGCATGCAACTCTTCACCAGATACCCAGAATTAAACTTTGTTAGTCTTAAACGTACCACTGGATTCAAACTTTGTTCAATAAATATGTTAGCCTTCAAGAATCATGTTCATAAAATAGCTGCCGATCCTCTTTCACCACTGCAACTATTGCGGTGCAACTAAAGCCCCACCAAATCGGACCTATAGTACAGCACCTGGAAAAAACCACCCGAAATCGAAAAGGAGGGAAAGCAAAAGCGCACGAGAAGGACAAAATAAGCAGCTACCAACAACCGAGCAACACTAGCTAATACCACGACTAGCACATCTCCACCACATACTAAGCTCGCCCCGCCTCAGGAGCTACCTAACAAACCGGAGAGTCAAACTTGCCGCCGTCGCTGGTGTAGGCGCCAGGCGGTGGGCGGGGCTTCCTTCGGCACGACTTCCGGCTGCAGCTGCCGCGTCCTGTTTTTTCTCAGAGTGACAGCAACGGAGGCGATTTCTGGGCGGCGGAAGCGAAAGAGAGGGAGAGTGGCTGGGCGGGTTAGACTAGGCAGGGTTATGTGGGGTTGTGCTGAGGTGGCCGCCGCCATGGAGTAAGCGGGCCGGGGTCGGCGCTGGTCAACCACGCCCCACTGTGGGGGCAGCACCCTTTCTTCAGGTGGAGGTGAGCTGTGGGGCCTAGCGCGGAGCCCTCGCTGTCGCGGGTGGAACTTGGGTGGGTGGTTGGCCCGGATGCCCTCCGACAGAAAGGTACCACCCACTCTTCCACAAGTGCAGGGCCTGGCTGGCTGGGTGGTGTGGGCAGAGGGGACTGGGGCCTCCATGTCGTTTTCCATCCCAGGGAATTCGGGCTGTCAACGGGCTGGAGGGGAGTGGTGAATCAGGATCCTTTCTACTAAAACGTGAACAGTAGCCTTAAGATCCTCTTCAAGTGAAGAAGGAAGGGCCGATCCAAGTCCTACTGTGGGATTGTTTCGGTATAGAAACTCTTATGAAAGTGTTGCTGACCTTATTAAACCACAGGGATGGGTTGCTTGTTTTTTTGTGGTTCTAATTTCAGCTGTCAACACATCAAAGGTTTTTAAAAAGTATTTTGGCAGTTTTGAGTTTAGTTATTAACTTAACTTCCTGTCTAAGATGTTGTAATAGTGCACACACTCAGATGTGTTTTGTGGATCAACAAAAGCTGTGGTATCCAATATGGCGTAACAGCGTTATTTGTGTCCCCCATTTCATTTCATCTTTGGACAAAGCTCAGAGGAAGATTGTCAGATAATGGTGTTAAGCCAGATCTCTTACTTTATGGGAAATGGTTGTTTGTAGAAAAGGACTTCTGTATAGGAGGAGATTATGAACCTTCTCTGTTTCATACAGCAAAGGCCTTGACAGCTGTGTATTTTGTAAATTTCTTGTGATAACCTATTTTTAATTGCTGTCTTTCTCTCTTACACCCTCCCCCATGTGCAAGAATCTATGTGGGATCTACCCCATTGAGACTGAAAACTGTTCAGTTCATTATGTCTGTTCTTCATTGTCAGAAAGCTCTAACTTGTGCCAGTATTCTGTTAAATGTATACGGAATGCAATAAGAATGTTCATATCATAGATGATAAGTTTTTGTAATCCCCATTACAGAATTGATTCTTTTATAAGAGAAGCCCACTGGAAAGTTGCTCCAACTTCTATGGGCAAGACCCAGAACTGTATTTTTTTGTTTCCAGAAAAATTTGCCAAGCTGTGGTGATTAGCAAGGCTCCATGGACTCCTGTGGTTGAATAAAGTCAGCAACACTTAAGGCCAATTTACGGCAACCCAATACGGTTTTCAAGGCAAGAGATTTTAAGGAATCAACTTGGTTATGTGATCTAAGTCTCTGCCACATGACATGGTGTTGTATCCTCAGTGGATAAATTGTAACCTCTTCCTTCACTTCTGACATTGTCATTAAGTATTTTAAAATTATCATTATTTGTCCAGTATAACCTTTTAGTAAAGCTAAACATGCCCAGTTACATGAGCAAACTTGAGGGCATTTGGCTTTCAGACCCCTTATCTTCAGTAGTCCTCTTCCAATTTTTGATATTTTCTTCTTTACAGGTCAATTTCTGAAACATTTAACAAATCCTTTTTATAGGTCTAGAAACAGTCTCAGTTCAGAGGATCTACCAAACCATGGTTTAGCATCAGAGACAAGCCATAAACCTGTATACTCTCTTCTTGCCCATAGATCTGTTTTCAGTTTGGCCATATCATCTGAATAGGCAAACTATTATTGGTGTTCTCTCACAACCTGAATTGGGTGCCTATTTTGAAAGATGGTTTTCAATTATTGTTTGGAGGAAAAGTACTAGCCATAGTTTGCTGATTCAAATGTCATGTCAGATTATGATTAGCACTAAACTGCAGGCTGAAATTGGCACTACATACAAAGGAGTCCATGCATCTCTGGTTCATCTCTTATACTCCGTTTGGAGGATATTCTGACCCAAGCCAGAATGTTCAGCAAATTATGTGTCTAGAGTCAGAAATATGTTCTAGAGTTAGAACTAAAGAGTAACCCATTGAATTGGCAGAAACGTATAGTACTGTTCTATTTGTTTTGTTTTGGAGCAGTCTCTTATTGAACGGTGTTCTGTACTGATAGTGTGATATAAGCCCCTCTGATTTCCAGCAACTCCACATAGCTTTTTATCTAATCCCTTCTATTTATTTTATTTGGAAAATTTCTGTGCCACTTCTCTGGGGAGTGTGCCCAAGGTGCCTTACAAATACAACATAATTAAAAACCTAAAACATAAAAGTTAATAAAAACCAGCATTCAGTAACACAGCCAAAGCATAAAACATGGGGCAGCTTAAAATGGGTCTTAAACATTTCTCAGACTATAAACAGACTATAAAATGATGTACACTCATAGAGTAAGTCTTAGAATAAGAATCTTGTGTCTGGTAATTTGCCTGAGTTAATTGGTAGAAAATGTCCGTTTAAGCAATCTAACAATAGTTAGAACATGTTTCAGTTTCTTAGCTACGTAATCTGTTGAAGGCAAGGATGATAAGCACAAAACTCGGTTCTGAGTGATTAACAAGAGTACAGCTATTGTCTGTTATAATGGAATGAAAAAATAACAAATTCAATCCCTGATCTTCCTTCCCTTCTCACAAGCTTAAATGCATTTCTTCATTGTCTTAGATGAACTTTTAACTGATATCTTGATCTAGACTGCCTCAGCATTATGGAGGAATGCTGATTTCCCTATTTCAAAAAAAATCTGTTTGCCTAAATGATTGATGTCTAACATCTAAAGTTAGCAAATGTATCATTGTCATGAAGACAGATTCAGGTGGGTAGCCCATGTTGGTCTGAAGCAATAGAACAAAGTTTGAGTCCAGTGGCACCTTTAAGACCAACAAAGCTAATTCTGGGTGCACAAATTTTGCATGCACACAAAAGCTTATACCCAGAAGTAATCCTTAAAGGTGCCACTAGACTCAAACTTTGTTTTGTTGTCATGAGTTAGAAATGAAGGTTGAGTTTTCATCTCTTATACTGATTGATTAAAAGCTTATTCTAAAATACTTCTAAATAAATAAATAGGTGATTTTAACTACTCACACATTGATTGGGTCAATGTGTGTTCAAGTCGGGGAAAAAGAGATTGAGTTTCTAGATACTCTCAATGACTGTGCTATGGGGCAGATGGTCACAGAACCTACCAGGGGAGAGGCGATCCTGGATTTGGTCCTAAGTAACGCCCAAGACCTGGTGAGAGATGTAAAAGTGATTGCACAGCTTGGGAACAGTGACCATAATGTTATTGAGTTTAACATTTGTATAAATACGGAGTTGCCCAAAAAGACCAACACAACCACTTTTAACTTTAAAAGGGGTAAATTCTCTGATATGAGGGGACATGTGAGGAAGAAACTGAAAGGAAAAGTAGAAAGGGTAAAAACTATTGGGGAACCTTGGAGACTATTTAAAACTACAATCCTAGAAGCTCAGAAAAAATATATACCGCAGGTTAGGAATGTCACAAATAGGTATAGAAAAAAGCCTGCATGGTTAACAAACAAGTAATGGAAGCTGTAAAAGGTAAGAGGGATTCCTTTAAGCAGTGGAAAGCGAGTCTCAGTGAAGTTAATAAAAGGGAACACAGGCTGTGGCAAATAAAATGCAAGTCTGTGGTCAGGTAGGCAAAAAGGAAATATGAGGAGCATATAGCAAAAAACATAAAGACCAACAATAAAACTTTCTTCAAATACATTAGAAGCAGGAAACCAGCCAGGGAGGCAGTGGGGCCCTTGGATGACCAAGGGGTAAAAGGAGTACTGAAGGATGATAGGGAAATAACTGAGAAGCTAAAAGCATTTTTTGCCTCTTGTCTTCACTGTGGAAGATGAGAAGTGCTTGACCACTCCAGAACCACTGATTTCGGGAGGGGTGTTGAAAGACCTGAGTCAGATTGATGTGACGAGAGAGGGAGGTCCTATGACTGATAGACAACTTAAAAACTGATAAATCACCAGGCCCGGATGGCATACATCCAAGAGTTCTGAAAGAACTCAAAACTGAATGTGTAGATCTCCTGACAAAAATATGTAATTCATTAAAATCTGCCTCCATTCCCGAGGACTGGAAGGTAGCTAATGTCACTCCCATCTTTAAAAAGGGTTCCAGAGGAGATCCAGGAAATTACAGGCCAGTCAGTCTGACGTTGATACTGGGTAAGTTGGTGGAAACTGTTATTAAGGAAAGAATTAGTAGGCACATTAATGAACGAAACCTATTGAGGAAGACTCGGCATGGGTTCTGTAAGGGAAGATCTTGTTTCACTAACCTGTTAGTGTTTTTTGAGGGAGTGAACAAACATGTGGACAAGGGAGACCCAATAGCCACAAGGTATAGATAGGAACTCTCAGTCTGGGACAAGGGATGCTCTGTATTCTTGGTGCTTCTAGTGTCCTGGCCCCACTGCTGGACCTCCTGATGGGACCTGGTATTTTTGGCCACTATGCGACAGAGTGTTGGACTGGATGGGCCATTGGCCTGATCCAACATTGCCTTCTGTTATGTTCTTACATTCTTATTTGGGGGCTGAGTCTCTCAGCATTATTTTGTGTTTGTCATTTTAATAATTTTAATAATTCTTTTCTTTGTAGGCAAGCTTTCTAGCAAACAGTTGTGACAATGGAGTCTGTGCTAAACAAATTGAAAAGCACTGTTACAAAAGTGACTGCAGATGTCACTAGTGCAGTAATGGGAAATCCAGTTACCAGGGAATTTGACGTTGGCCGACATATTGCTAGTGGTGGCAATGGGCTTGCCTGGAAGATTTTTAATGGCACTAAAAAGTCAACAAAACAGGTGAGGTTATTAGAAGCAAATATCTTAACATTAGTTAACTGTGATAATTACAATTATATATATGTTCAGGGTCATGGTAGTTGCAAGTGTTTTGGAAAAAAAGTGATAACTATCTTCTCTCTATTTCTTTTTGGTTTCCATTTCTGTTTAATATTGGTCGTTTGTTCAAAGTGCTGCACTTATGCAAAGTGTCCGATTACCAGTTTTCTGACCTCTGTGCTTCTAGTTCTGTATACATGGAGACAGAGTAATGAAACCCTATGACATGCACCTCGATATATGTGATTCTTAGCAAGGCGAAGTGTATATACTGGGTTGTCACATGGTACCTTTAACAATGCTGGGACTGGTGAATGGTTGGCAGAGTTTCCAGGGTTCTATGGGAGCATCTATCAGTATTGGTAATATTAGTTTTTGTTTCTACAGCTATTGTTATATGCCGCTGACTTCACTGTTGGTTGAGCATGTTGACATTTGCCCTGATTTAGTAGCTGCCAGCATACTAAAACCATAGGACTACCTGCTTGATCATCAGTGATAAAAAGTGGCATTGCTTATCTGAGAATCGTTTTCCTTTAGGGTGCTTCCTGCACCAAAAATTGCCAGCATTGAATGTGTTGGCCTGGCATGGGATGTCAAAGAGAGTTTGGCTATATGACTGGTGTACTGACCACCTAACGCACCAGCATATGCCCTACTTGGCCTGTTGGCTGCTGTATCAGGCTGGACACTGGAGCACCCCAGTCTGTTTGGTCCTGGGAGATTTCAGTATCCATGTTGATGATGCGGTGTCCTCTCAGGCCAGGGACCTAGTGTCATCCATGGAGGCACTGGGACGCTCCCACTTTGTATAGACTCCCATGAATCAAGCAGGCCACACACGAGACTTGATTTTTGGGATGGGGGTAAATGTGGATCTGGAAACTACAGAGGCAGTGCCGTGGTCAGAACACTTTGCCCTGATGCTCCAGCTGAGCTTGCTGAACCCTCCCTGTTTAGGCAACAAGCAAATTTATGCTCGCCTGTGGAGCCTAATGGACCCAGATCAGCTTCAGGATGCTCTGTGGGAACTGATGCCCCCTGGCAGTTTGTTAGCTGTGCTGGTGGAGGATTGGTATTGCCAACTCTCTGAGGCCATTGACGAGATCGCCCCCTGGTGCCCTCTCTGCTTTTGGGCTAAATTAGCTCTGTGGTATACCCTGGAGGTATGGAGGATGAAACAAGACTTGAGATAGCTAGAGCGAGGGTGGCGGCATACTCGTGATGAAGCGGCAAGAACATCTTATAGGACGTTTATGAAAGCCTATGAGATGGCAGTGAAGGCCACAAAGAAAGATTTCTATGCTGCCTCTATTGTATCTGCGAGCTCTCTCCTGGCCGAATTGTTTAGGACCATTCAGTCACTAACTACATTGCCGCAAGGCAAACAAAACAGTAGGGAATTAGCTATTGGCTGTGAGGCATTTCTGAGCTATTTCGCAGGCAAAGTCATGTCACTCAGCCACAAACTCCCAACCACAATTGATACGGTAAAGGAACTGGAAGCCCCTTGCCTGTCTTCAGGCCTGCTTTTGGGAGGATGTCGACAGGATCCTGGCAGCTGTGAGGTCTACCACTTGCCTCCTTGACCCATGCCCATCCTGGTTTGTCAAGGCCTGTGGGGGTGATGTCCGGGCACCACTGGAAGAGACTATCTACTTGTCCCTTTCATCAAGGACTTTCCCAGCAGGATTGAAGGAATTTGTAGTACGTTCGCTCTTTAAAAAAAATCACTGGACCCTGTGGTCCTAGCTAACTACTGCCCAGTTTTGAACTTGCCATTCCTGGGCAAAGTAGTTGAGAGGGTGGTGGTCAACCATCCATCATGGATCCATTCCAGTCTGGTTTCCACCCTGGCCATGGGGCGGAGACAGCACTGGGTGCCCTCACAGATGACCTCTGGAGACACCTGGATTGGGGCGGGTTGGTGCTGCTGTTGCTTCTTGACCTAATGGCAGCATTCAACATGGTCAATTATGATCTAATGACCCACCGCCTAAATTATGTAGGAATAAGGGGGACTGCCTTATAGTGGTTTTCCTACTTTCTCCATGCTCGGGGACAGAGGATGGCACTCGGTGAGACGGTCTCCTTGAGATACTTGCTGGAATATGGAGTGCCACAGGGGATAATCCTCTCACCAACATCTACATGCGCCCCCTCACCCAGCTGGTTTCGGCTGAGTTGTCACCAATATGCTGATGACACCCAGCTCTATCTGTTGATGGATGGCCACCCGGACTCCATCCCAGATAATTTGAACAGGGCTTTGGAGGCCGTGGCTGGGTGGTTATGGCAGAGCCAGTTGAAACTTAATCCAACGAAGATGGAGGTCCTGTACCTGAGTCAGAGGGTAAGCTTGGGAATCAGTCTCCCACCTCTGGACGGGACACTGTTGGTGCCAGTGCTGAGGATGAGGAGCCTAGGGGTGATCCTGGATGCCTCGGTCTCTATGGAGGCCCAGGTCACCACTGTTGCCAGGTCTGCCTTTTATCATTTTTGGCAGATCAGGGAATTGGTTCCTTATCTCTCCTCCTGAGACTTAGCTACAGTGACCCATGCAACAGTAGCTTCCAGGTTAGATTACTATAACTTGCTTTTATGTGTTCTTCTCTGTCTGTTGTTTGTAATGGCCTATGGCTAAATACAATAAAATCTTCTCTCTATATAACTTGCTTTATGAGGGCTTACCCTTGAATCTGATCTGGAAACTCCAGCTCGTGCAAAATGTAGTGGCGCACCTGCTGACTGTGACATCTGTGTGGGTGTGCATTCAGCTGCTGCTACACCAATTGCACTGGCTACCAGTTGAGTACCAGATCTGTTTCAAAGTGATGGTATTAACATTTAAAGCCCTATGTGGCCTGGAATGACATACCTAAGGGACCATCTCTCCCCATATGTCCTTCAGAGAGCCTTGTACTCTGCTGACTAACATCTGCAGGCTGTCTCTGACCCAAAGGACGTCCGCTTAGCCTCATCCAGGGCCTTTTCCGCCCTGGGCCCTGCCTGGTGGGACATGTTCCTGTTTAAGATTAGGGCCCTGTAAGACTTATTACAGTTTTGCAGGGCCTGTAAAATGGAGCTCTTCTGCCAGGCCTTTGGTTGAGGCAGCGGACGCCCAAACATTTGGTCTCCCTTGCTGAAAACTGCCCTATTACATTTGTCATGTAAGGAGATGTTACCATTGCTTCTGTTGTGACTCTTTGTTCTGTCATTTATTTAGCACTGCTGGACCCTTATAAACTTTCGTATAATTTGCCATCTTTTAAATGGTTTTAAGGTATTTATTGTGATAATTAAATACTCTTGTTGTTACCTGCCCTAAGCCTGCTTGCGGGGAGGGTGGGATATAAATCCAACAAATAAATAAATGAATAAATATAAATAAAAGGCCACAACTAAAAAATGTTTAAAATGTAATTTGGGTGTCTCCCAATTGTTTACTGGAATAAAAAAGATATAACAGTGTTTGAAAATGGGGCTTAGATAGGCCTTTTCCAGGAGATAAATGGATGATGTTCAGGCATGTAAGAATATCTGGCTGTCTCTTTTTTAAGCAGAATTATTTTGAAAGGTGGAAATTCAAAAAAGAAATGCTGCAAGGGAGAGATTGAATGCTTAGCCTTTCACTTCCCACCATTTTCCCCACTTCAGATCTCACATACTTCCCAGCAGCTTTTCTCCCAGAGGATCTAAAATAGTTGTACAGAAAGGTAAAGCTCCTAAAAAGAACAATGTAGAGCAGGAAAAGTGTTAAGTACTGCCTTCTTCCTCCACTGCTTTTGTGTTCTAAATTTCTGCTCAATCATGTCACCCCTTAGTCGTCGTTTCTCCAAGCTAAAGCACTTTAACCTTTCCTCATAGGGAAAGTTGTTTTGATACTTGATTGCTCACCCCTTCGTTTTGCTACAAACAGATTATAACACAGATGCCATAAATTTTCATTACTGTTAGGGTCTGCTTTTTTTTTTACTGACAGGCTTTTATTTCTGGGTAACAGATACAAATCAAGCAGTGGATCTTTTTACAGCATAAAGATGCAGTAGCAGCAACATCAGCACATGACCTTGTAAATTTGCCTTTCATACCACTGGTAAAGGCATAGTAAATTAACCCATTTAAAAGTGCAGCCATCTTTTAGTATATTATGAAGTAAATTTCTGAAACGGTTATGAGATCATAAACCTAGTCAGAATGGCAACCTTAGAGTAGCAGTAACTATTGCTTTAACATTAAAAATCAAAGCAAATAATTTGTTATTTACAAAAGTACTTAAAAGACTTCAGTTTCTTGCATGATCTGTTAATTATACTTTATGACTTATTTTTTAGGAGGTGGCAGTTTTTGTCTTTGATAAAAAGCTAATGGACAAATATCAGAAATTTGAGAAAGATCAAATTATTGATTCCTTAAAAAGGGGAGTTCAGCAGCTAACAAGGCTTCGGCATCCTCGACTGCTAACTGTGCAACATCCATTAGAAGAATCTCGGCAAGTTTCTTTATAACTAAAATAATTACTGATCTGATTTTTAAAAAGATGCTAATATTAATTTCATCTAGCTTGAATAACTTTCTGAAAATAGCTAGAATTTATCCAGAAAGTGAGTCTGCTTTTTTCAACTGTCTGTAGTTTAAGATGTATCTTTAATTCTGGTTTCGTTGTTCTTGGTGTGAGGCAAAACATATATCTGGATGGCTAATTTAAGAATATTGTCAAGAAAACCTGAGTTCTGCACTGTCCCCTCAAGATTCTTGGCTGCTAGAATATATCCTTATGACTATGGGGCAGTGGGTTTAACTGCTGTGGTTCATGTGGTGCTTCAGTGTCACATAATGTCATAACAGAAAAGCCCAGCACCAGTTGCTACTTCCTGAACATCCTTTGTCACAAAGTGCTCTTCCTTTTTCTGGTCACATTTCCTTTACGTTCCTTCCCAGTTTATTTTATGCAGTAATGAATATTGTGAGAAATTTGGATTTGTAATTATATTTTGTTGTGTTTTTCCCCCAGCAGTATGGCTGGATTGCCTCTCTGCCACAAAACTCTTAATCTCTCTATTTACCTAGCTTGTTTTTATTCTGAATTGTATTTGGGGGCATTTTCTTATTTGTCAAAATTGTTTCCTTTTAGGGACTGTTTGGCATTTTGTACAGAACCAGTTTGTTCGAGTTTAGCTAATGTTCTTGGCAATTGGGACAATCTTCCTTCACCTGTACCCTCTGACATCAAAGAATACAAACTTTATGATGTGGAAACAAAATATGGCTTGCTTCAGGTATTTATTTTCCTATCTTTGGTAAATAGAATGCTCTTGGTGTTATGAATATTTTAACTTTATCAGCAAATTCAGCAGAGCCACTTACATGACTAGAGTTCTACTAGTGTAAATATTTGCAGGAGTAGGACCTTGCATTTATTCCTTTTCCTGTTCTCATAGCTTCCAATTTTGACTATTCAGTAACATCAATTAGACTCCATAAATCATAAGATTTGGCTAAAAAAGAAAACACTACAACTACTATTCTTGCAGTAAACAAAAAACACCCCCCCAAAACTTGCACAATAGCCACCTGTTACTTTATAACATAGCAATCTGCAGGAATTGTTTCATCAGTTGGGGGGGGGGACAGGGGACCCTGCACACCAACAGCTGCCTTGTGTTCCCTAGACTGTTTAGAAAATAGATTGGTCTAGTCTTCTCTGCTTATTGGCTCTTTAGCACACAAGCCTTTCCAATATATGCAAGTTGTTTATACCTTTTGGAAAGCCATTGCAAATGCTTCAATCTATTTTGAGCACAGCTGAACCTGAGAGAAGGAAGCAAAGAAATGCTTGCCCCAGTCTGGGCTTGATCTTTCCACCTTTAATTTGTAATTTCAGCAGCAACACTGTTAGAGCAAGTGGATCCAGTTGTAGTGAGAGAACTATTCTTTCAAGAAAACTGGTGGGGAAGGAAGAAGAGATGCCCCTGCACCTTAAACTTGTGATCACCCTTGTGATTATATGTTAATGAAGGCAGTTTTTGCTCCCACTTGAAATGACTTGTTTACATTTTCCCCATTCAAGTGAATACCATTAGTTTTTTTGGGGGAGGGGGCTAAAGAGCATCATTTTAGGGACAGTGTTGGGATGGTGAATAATCTGGCCCCCATCCCAGGTGCCAGCTGGTTTGGCCTAATGATAGTGTACTCTTTCCAGCCCACCTACCTGTTAAGTCAAGCATATCCCTAACATTGTATAACGAAATGGATAAGATTACTTCATTTGAATAGTACATTAAACATTTCAGCATAACTTAAAATCTTTTTGTGTTTAATGGCTCACAAGCATAGCCTTTTTCAAGGAAGAAAACTCTAGAGTAACTCAGCATAGGGAAGTGTGCAAGTATTCAGCAACATTAAAAGAACACCTTAAGTTATCCTTTGACATGTGTTATCTCCTTCCTTACAGGTTTCTGAAGGCTTGTCTTTTCTACATAGCAGTGTAAAAATGATCCATGGTAACCTTACTCCTGAAAATATAATTTTGAATAAAAGTGGAGTATGGAAAATTATGGGGTTTGATTTCTGTATTCAGTCTAAGAATCCATCTGAGCAAGAGGTAACAAGGTGTTTAATTTACTTGTCATACACACTGAAGCATGGGTTGGGGTCTGATACTTGGCTATGTGATCTTGGGCAAAGTATAGATTTTGGAGAAGTGGGAAAAACAGTTTCCTACCAGTTGACTTTGGGGTGTTAAATCTGATGTCACAACAGAATGTAAGGGATGCTTCCACAATCTGGAATTAATTAGTTGTCTTACCCTAATGGAGATAAACCTCTGTGGAATAGGGCCTGACCTGTTGAAATATGTGAGATCTTCTCATTGTGGTGAAGGAAATAAAAAATAAAGTTTGTTATCTGTTAGTACAAGTCCAGTTTTTTTATGGTTTGTGTTTAGGTTATTAGAAATAAGCTAGTAAATGTCATCTTTAGATGTTAACTACTGTCAGTATTAAGGAGCATTAGTTCAGTAATTTGATTTTAAAGTTATACTTTAGCGTTTTGTATAACTTTCTTGGTATTGGTCTTGCAGCCTAAATTCTCTTGCAAAGAATGGGACCCGAATTTGCCATCTTTGTGTCTTCCAAATCCCCAGTATTTGGCACCAGAATACATCCTTTCAGTGAGCTGCGAAACAGCCAGTGACATGTACTCTCTGGGAGGAATTACATATGCTGTGTTTAATAATGGAAAGCCTATTTTTGAGGTCAACAAGCAAGATATATATAAAAGTTTCAGTAGACAGCTGGATCAGGTATCTCTAATTAAGACTATATTATAAATGTTACATTCATATTTGAATGCATTAGTATTGTGAAGGAGGAGCTACGGTAGTGTTTAGCCTCTACTGTGGACCTTTTTTTTTTTTTAATAAGTACCCAAGGGTACACTTTTATTATTTTTTTCCATTATATACTGCAGACATACAGACATACATACCAACAACCCCCAACTACCCCCCACAACATATAACATATAACAAGAGACTTTATCATTTCTTCTGCTTATTAGATTTCTAAATTCATTATCTATTTTACTAAGCTTATCTTTTCTGCGTTCTCAAATTACTATATTTATCTATCAATTGCATTAACATTATACCAATCGTAGAATCTCTTCCAAGTTTTTTGAAAAGTCCATTCTGTACCAGCTCTCATCTCACCACTACTGTGGACCTTGATGAGCAGTGGTTCTCAGGCTGGCCTTCAGCTGTAGCTGCAGAAAATGCACAGGAGCTGTTTCAGGCAGCCCCGTCAATATTCGTCTGAGCACAGCCTGTCCTTTAGTTAGTGTAGAAAAAATGATTGAACTTGCACAAAGTAGAAGGCATATCTGCAGTTAAGAAAAACAGTGACTAGGGCATGTCTGGCCAGTCCCTGGATGTTATGCTCAATTGTATTGGGGAAGGGCCCCAGCAATGGTTCTTTTGCTGCTGTTTCCCACTTTTTTTGCTCCACTCGTCTCTTTCTCATGTCTCCCTCCTTTGACCTTTGTGCCTCAGTGGCTTCCAGTACTCCTTATGGGCGCATTTTGAGAAACTGTTTTGAGCAACAGGAGTTCCAAGTTGAGGCCTATTTACTTTGCAGATCCTGTTGTTCTGCGTGCATCAGAAAAGCCACGATCTTAACCTATAAGCAAAGTAACTTAGTTATGAACGGGTGAGTGTTTATCTATGGAAAGCAAGGATAATTCTGCTAAGAATAAAAATTCATTAATAGTCAGAACAGAATAGGCTGCGTACTAGAGTACTCCCCCTGTTTTGCCTTTTGAGTTGAGAATAATTTCATTGGAGGCAAATATTTTAAAGTTCACTTTCCTCTTAGATTACTTCTTCAATAAAAGGAGATACTATCATACAATGTCTGAACATAGAGCAAGGATGCACAGCTCATACAGTTACCTGGGCTAAAAACAACTTTGGATGGAACAAAGTGGACTGTATTGTGAAAGTATGACATCACCGGGGCCCACCCCCTGTCATCATCAGGCCTTGCCTTATGTATTTCAAGGCCTGGGATGCTGGAGATTTGGCAATACATTTGACTAAGCCAGTGAGACAAAGATCAGTGTCCAGCTTGGTAGATAAATTGCTGACATAAAGTCTCAGTTGGTATCAGGGTTATGCAGGGAAGGGAGAGGAGTTTTAATCCTTTAGCCTGCAGCTGGTTCCACACCTCTGGTGGAGGGGGAAAGGATGAAGCTCCCACCAATGTATCTGTGTGCCCCTCTCTGGGGCTTGGGCAGCTGGCTTGGTGGTGGCCATGTGCTAGCCCACGCCCTCAGCAACCAGCTCAGTGGCAGCCGTGTGTGAGCCTGCCACCTCAGCAACTGGACTCAAGAGCCAACCCTTGGTTGGTGCTGGCATGGACCTGTTGATGGGGTGGGCCCGGGGGGTGGTTAGTGATTCTGGGGCCCCACCCAGGACTTTAGCCCTAGGCCCCAGAATCAATAGGACTGGCCCTGTTCTAAACAGTTTGGTTAAGATTTGCTGACCATTTCTATTTGCACTATTTCATTGCTATCCAACTAGCTTCTGCTCAGAGATGCAGCTGGTCAGGGGTATGGTGTTCCACAGTGCCTGCTGAGTCACCAGATTGATGGTCTGGAATGCTGCCCCACTGCTGCACTGGTTCTTACTGACAGCATCTCTTTCTAATTTTAAATTTTATTTTTTCAAATACTGATAGCATTTAAGGAGCTGGGGCAGTGGGGAGAGAGAATCTATTGTGAGCTACTAATGGCGATGAATGATCATATCTGCAATGAGAGGCAATGTGAAAATAAGAAAGTAAGCTGTGCCTTGTGATATTTCTGAAGTCTGTGGGAGACTCACAGGGATTTCCAGAGATTAAGTGAAGTGCAGAACTCCTTGCCTTTCTCTTTTCTGGTTGAAGCAGGATCAGTAAATACATTACTAATGTTTACAAACTCATTGTACACATATGTATATGTATATGTTAGAACGGATAAAGGGAATATGTATACGTTAGAACGGATAAAAGGAAGTACTTCTTCACCCAAAGAGTGATTAACACATGGAATTCACTGCCACAGGAAGTGGTGGTGGCTACAAGCATGGATAGCTTCAAAAGGGAATGAGATAAGCATATGGAGCAGAGGTCCATCAGTGGCTATTAGCCACAAGGTATAGATAGGGACTCTGGGGCAAGTGATGCTCTGTCTTCTTAGTGCTTGGGGGGGTCAACAGTGGGAGGGCTTCTAATGTCCTGGCCCCACTGGTGGACCTCCTGATGGCACCTGGTATTTTTGGCCACTGTGTGACACAGAGTGTTGGACTGGATGGACCTTTGGCCTGATCCAACATTGGCATCTCTTATGTTCTTATGCAAATATGCCTGTTTGCTTAAAAATTATGCAGACTGTAGAACTCATCTTTTCATGAGACAGAATTTTTATTACTGGTAAAGAACTTTTACATCTTTTAGTGTAGAGTGCATACAGTCTATAGGATATATGTGCTATATGAAGGGTTTTGTTTAATATTAGTGATGATCTGTGGTTTACCTGTTTATGCAGCTTAGTCGCTTAGGTTCCAACACTCTGCAGAACATCCCAGAAGAAGTCCGTGAGCACGTAAAGCTACTGTTAAATGTAGCTCCGGCAGTCAGGCCAGATGCAGATCAAATGACTAAGGTGAGCAAGCAGAAACAGCCACTTAAAATATTTGCGCATCTTAAGCTGTTTTTAAAAGTGCTTTGATACCCAAAATCAACTTTTAATGTTATTTTGAACATCCTTCTGGTTTTGAGAGTCCTTAAAGGTCTTTATTTATTTTGCCTTTTTTTCATATGAGGTTAATGTTTCTGCTTTACTACCCAAAGAGAGTACTTGGTGGTTCATAGGAACTGTTCTTATAGAATGTGCTTTCTGTAGGAGATGATGTTTTGCTGCTATCTAGAAAATAGGTCAAATCAAATTCAAATACCTTTTATTGGCGTACAATATTAGAAGCATTTACCAATAATACAATCCCAAATTATAAAATAGATAGTCGTGGCTATGTCAGGCCTAACTCAAGTTGTCACAAGCTAGATTTGACCATACAAAGGATGCCTGAATCATAAAATAAATTGGCATTCTAAACTTTTAAACTTAAGTTTTTAGACTTATAAATTAAGAATCATTAATATGATCAGGGTCACTCTTCCGTTTTATAAAACCATGGAGAAACGTAGGGGTCAGTTCAGTGATCTCCAGATCTCATGAAGCAAGGAGAAATTGTACCTTGATTCTATCCGATTGGCCTGCTACCAACCTAAGGGGTTTCTCTTCAGATCGCATAGAAAATAGGTCATATTTATGAAAGCACAGGAAGGGAAATTTCCTTTTTCAGGGAGGGAAATTTTCCACCTTGGCTATCATACAGGTCAGGTTTGTGTTTCTTTACTATCTATGCTTTCAGTGTTTTAATTGTAATGTATCATCAATAACACAGTGCTTTGGGGACAAAAGGTAACTTTTTGTTTCTTTATTTTTAGATACCTTTCTTTGATGATGTTGGGGCAGTGACTCTGCAGTACTTTGATTCTTTATTCCAAAGGGATAATCTTCAAAAGTCACAGTTTTTTAAAGGGCTGCCAAAGGTTTTACCAAAATTACCTAAGGTCAGATTATTTTACTAGATCCTTGCTTTGATACACAAAACCATATGTCTTGTGGCCGTATCTTGGAAGCATGCATTGTTACTCCATCACAGACTGCATTTTTGGGAAGGGTTGCAAGGGCCTGAAGAGCTTCTCATTTAACTTTGCAGTTGAAAATTCTGTTGCAGTAGAGAGCACCTTATTTTTAGAAGTTTGCAATACTTTTAATTGAGATTTTTGGAATAATGTTAGTCTTGCAAGTTCCCTTCATTCAGAATAAGGCCAAAGAAAAGCTGGCTTCTAGAAGTAAATGAACATTGAAAATAACCCAGAGTATGAATGCCTGCTAACATTCTTATCCAGTACTGGCATTCATGGAAAAGCCATTGTATATGCAAGCACATGCAAGTAAATTTTCCTGTGCAAGTAATGAGTTCCTGGTTTGGACTGATAATGTGAAAGCATCTGCATTCTTTATATTTTTGGCCTTTTTATAAATGTGTATTGATTTTTAAAGAGAACCTATTCTACCCTGTAAATAATATACTTATTTCTCTTTTAGCGTGTTATAGTTCAGAGGATTTTGCCTTGCTTGACCTCTGAATTTGTAAATCCGGACATGGTACCTTTTGTTTTGCCTAATGTTTTGCTCATTGCGGAGGAGTGTACCAAAGAAGAATATATCAAGTTAATTCTACCTGATCTCAGTCCTGTTTTTAAACAGCAAGAACCAGTCCAGGTACATATATATACATTTTTCTAAAACTTTATTCTCCTTTGCCTGTCCAGAGTTTTCCTAACAGCACTGATGAAGTGCTAAAATATCATAATCCTCTTATCCAGTTGTTTGTCTCGGTGTTTAGAAAAGACATTCCACTTAAGAAACAAACTGAATTTTTTATAGCTCCATCTGCTGTCTGTTTCTGTGGAATTTATACCATGGTAATATCTTCAAAGTCAGTAAATGTTATTTTTAAAGGAAAATTGTTATTCCAAGGTGCTACTACAGTTTTTTGTTGTTGTTCAGTCGCACAGTCGGACTCTTCGCGACCCCATGGACCAGCTCCTGCCAGGCCCCCCTGTCTTCCGCCGTCCTCTGAAGTAGCCCCAATTCCTCTACAGTACCCCCAATTAAAAATACACTTTTAAAAAGGCCAGTAGATGTTTTGCTTTTATTTGTGAATATTTGTGGGCACCACAATTTAAGAAAGATAGACAAGCAGAAACGTGTCCAGAGGAGGGCGACAAAGATGGTGAGGGGTCTGGAGACCAAATCCTGTGAGGAAAGGTTGAAGGAGCTTGGTATGCTCAGCATGGAGAGAAGATGACTGAGAGGTGATATGATAACTATCTTCAAGTACTTGAAGGGCTGTCATGTTGAGGATGGTGTAGAGTTGTTTTCTGTTGCCCCAGAAGGTCAGACCAGAACTAACAGGTTGAAATTAAATCAAAAGAGTTTTCAGCTCAACATTAGGAAGAACTTCCTGACAGTTAGAGCAGTTCCTCACTGGAACAGGCTTCTTCTGAAGATGGTAAGCTCTCCTTCTCTGGAGGTTTTCAGAGACTTAAATGGCCATTTGATAGTGATGCTAATTCTGTGAACTTAGGCAGATAATGAGATGGAGGGCAGGAAGGGCTGCATCAGTGCTTATTTTTTGTGGCCCTTTCTTTCACTCCCAGGGAAATGCTGATCACCACTTTGGGGTCAGGAAACAATTTTCTTCTGGCCAGGGATCCGAGGGGTTGCCCTCTTCTGGGTATTGAGCAGGGGTCACTGAGGGTGTGGGAGTGAGGTATTTGTGAATTTCCTGCATTGTGCAGGGGGATGGACTAGATGACCCTGGAGATCCCTTCCAACTCTATGATTCTGTAATCTTGTACCATTTCTTGCTACTGGTCTGTTATGATTGGAGGGGGGTCAATACTAGATGATCATTGGGGTTTACATTTCTTCTTTTCCTCTTCCCTTTTTTAAGTAATAGCTGGAATTGTAACAGCATGAAATATATTTATACATAACAGACATTGTTCTGTGCCCTTTTATCCTGTTCTCTACGTTATTCTAAAATTTTGTAAAACAAGCAAGTTGAGAGAGTGTCTTCCTGTGTTATACTTCCAAAATAGAACAGACATATTGCATAGGATTGGGCCCTAAGTATCCTTTCTACTTGTGCGAATGCCTTCTTCTGCAAGGGGTTCTGCTGACAAAAGAGGCAGGAGAGATGACTTCATTCACTTCATCCTCTTCTCTGTGGCCACCTGTTTGGCACAGATTCTTATCTCTGCAGGTCTCCCAGCTCCTGGCATCAACATGCACAGGTAGCTGCTGGTGGAAGGGAGAAGTGGGAAAGATTTACTTTTGTCAGCATCTCCTACTATTGCTGCAAAATATCCAACTCATTGTGTGAAAATGTCACCTATTTCCAAATTTAATAAAGTATGTTTTTCCTACTAAGCTGCTTGAATACTTGCCCAGAGCACCCAGATAGAGCCTACTATTATAATATTCTAGGATTTTTTTTTACCAGAAACAAAACCCATAAGCCATGGTTTCTTCATGTTTACCAGTTTGTAAGATTTTCAGTGAACTCTTAGTTTATTGTCTCCAAAACCAAGCAAAGGTTAGTGGAAAGGAGGGCCGAAATTAAAACCTTTTCATAAACCTCTTTTTATGAAAAGGTTTTAATTTCGGCCCTCCTTTCCACTAACCTTTGCTTGGTTTTGGAGTTCTTTGTTAGGTTTAGTCT